AACATCAACACAACATCAACACAACATAAACACAACATCAACACAACATCAACATAAACACAACATCAACATTAACACAACATCAACAAAACATGATCACAACATCAACACAACATCAACACAACATCAACATTAACACAACATCAACACAACATCAGCAACAGCACGTTGAGTGCAACATGAACAACAATAACAACATCAACACATTAGAATAACCAGAACAAAATTTGCACTACTCAGAAAAAGACCATCGCTACTTCAAAAATTTCACTGCAATGTGTTCTAATATTTTTTTATGTAACATTTCTTGCGACATTATAACGTTTGAAAGTTATTTCTTCATTTTAATGATAATGTTCACGTCTCATTCACCTAGGAGAGCACTAGTTGATTGTGTTCCTATTTTCCACATTTTCTGCAAAATTCGGCAAAACATTTGACGCGAGATGGCGTTTCGTATTTGAAAGATGAACTTCACTATAAATTTTTATTTCATCATCCATCTAAATTTGTTAAAAATGAAAATTAATACACTACAAAAAAATTTAAAAGTTTCGTGTAAATAACTTTGAAATGTTATTTTCGTTAATGCTTATTAAAAACGTTTTAGCAATTTAAAACACAAAACATGTAGGTTTTCAACAAAAACAGAACCAGTGGTCTTTTTGAATTTTATTCCCATAAAATCGTCAATTGCTGACAAACAGGTGTTCAAGCTGATTGCTTTTTCAGACACGTTCAAAATGCATTTAAACAACAATAAACGAAAAAAACAGCAACAAACAATGACAAACAACAACAATAACTGACAACAAAAAATAATCAACACCACCACCAACAACAACAACCAAATGCAACAACGGTGTAAAGGCAGACTACGGCAATCAATGCACAGTAAAGCTAGAAGGAAAATGATGACCATGATGGCGGAGATGGTGAGGATGATGATGATGAAGAATAGGAAGAGGAAGAAGAGGACGATGATGATGATGGTCTATAAATCGCAAATAATTTCAAAGGACCACTAGGGTTTATTGAGTTTTTGTAGAATGTGTGTTCGTGGCTACATTGCTTGTTTATAGGGTCCGCATCACTTGCAAACAATTTCTTTTCTTGCTCTTACGAACTTCCGATTTTTTATATTTTTATGTTTTTTCCATTTTTGAAATTTAAATTATCATAACAGATTCTATAAAGTTTGTTTGTTCTTCAGTTATTAACGTCAAGCTTCATTTGATAATGTTCAACACTTTGTCCGCAGAGTAACTTTCTTGAATGAAAAGGAATCTTCAGACCGCTGTATGTCGAAGCTCTTATCAAATTACTTGATGCACGTAGATAATATTGAAAGAAGCATCACCAACAATGCAAAAATGCACAAAGTCAGGCATAATAGGACAATGTCGAACATACGTCTTAATGATCCTACCTATTATTTTTTTCATTATTTTTTCATAATGTTGTTCAGCCCCATTTTGTATACTCGTTTATGCATGATTATATCCATTACAGCAGCCATCATTTCAAAAATTTGAACAGTCATCATCACGTTTACAATCATTTTCATTCTGCTTTTACAAAATTTTAAACTTTTAAGCTAATTTATTCCTTACGTGATCAACTTAATCATTGTCTTTTACCTATCAGTCAACATTTTAATTCGCGGTTGTAACAACAATTTTTTCCATTACTCCGACCATCGTCATCATATTTAACACGTCCATAATCTTCATCATGTTTATACTTGTCATCACGGTGTTTCATCATTTTCATAATATTCATTCACTGCCTTGATTGTGTACATTAAAAGACTAATGTGTTTTTAATCCATGCAATGTTTTACCCCGCTGTCTTATGCTGCATTGAACATAACATCTGAAAAGTTATAAATGTCGTTCAATTATTTATTTTTATTTTTCTCTTTCCGCTCGATCAATCATGAGATTGCACGAAATTAATCATTATTTTCTGAATTATTTTTCTTCAAGATTTTTATTTCATCGTATGCTACTGCAGGGAGAATTTTTCGTTTTATAAGTTGTGTGTTTGCTATTTCAATGAATGTTCTTTCAATGTTATTTTCTTTAATAGGCACGTTATTTTAAAAATGAATTTGTGGCATTGTGCAAATTGTTGTAATGTTAAAAAAGCTTTTTCTCAAAAACAAAATAACAATGTTTTTAAATACAGAAAGTTTTTAAGTTGTGATTTTTTTCTTACACACATGGTTTTAACATGCATCAAAATTCACTTTGCAACATAAACAAATCTGTTGTCTTGCTGTTTGCTGCAATAACATGAAGTCATCCACGAACCGTAAAATGATACTCAGACCATTTTGACTCCATTTTAAAAAGTTACACCAAAGAGTTCTGTTGAATGGACATGATTGTTGCCTATGTTTCACTCATTTAATATAATCACAAGCACTGCAAAACAGTGAAGACGACAAACATCACCGGGCAAAACATCTTCAAATTCGTTTACTATCCATCTTTAATTTAATCATCAATTTTTCATGAACTATATCGATGATCTTTTTTTATTTGCTTTTATCTCTTTTTTTTATTTGTTTCTATTATTTTATTATTATTTTTTTATTAAAATTGGATTTGTTAAATTAAATATTTCTAAACAGATTTTGAATTTTTTCGTTTTGATGTGGAAATGCCTTCTACTGGAATCACCCCTGCTTAACATTAAGGACATACGTTATTACGACGCAAAAGGTAGACATATCTTACGAGAATAATGATGATGATGACGATTATGATGATAATGATGGACATCAGGATTTTGTTGATGGTAGGAAGGAGAGAAGAAGGAGATGGGTAAAATAAAATTATTTTTTGTAACCATAGAGATTATTTGGCGAAAAAGAAGAAGACGATGATAGTAATGGTGCTATTATTGAGGAAATAATAGCAATAATGATGTTTATTATGATAAGAATGAAAATAATAATGGCTGCATTTATTTTTTAAGATAAATCGGTTGAGATAATCATTCAGTGGATAGTTTATGCGCAGGTAATAAATCAACGAAAAGTTCATACTTAAAACGGTTCTGCAGTCTTTACGGCACTCGTACAAGCAACAAACTGCCAGAAACTTATGCAAATGTAACTATAACCTCATAACATTATAAACCATCATTTACATATATATTCCATCCATTTATATGCACACATCTGCACATATAACGAAACACATTAGCAGTTTCATGCTCTATGCATGTACGACGTACGTGCATACACGTTCACACAACAGTATCATCCCATGAAAACACCCTGATTGAAATATAGATTGTGTGTGTGTGTGTGTGTGTGGTGTATGTGTGTGTTTGTGTTAATTTGTGGGCTTTTATATGTACGTATTTCTCTCTCTCTCTCTCTCTCTCTCTCTCTCTCTCTCTCTCTCTCTCTCTCTCTCTCTCTCTCTCTCTCTCTCTCTCTCTCTCTTTCCCACTCTGATGATGCGCACATAGGCAGAACACATGAGGCACATTGATAAATATGGAAGTGAATGGAAGGAGGGCTGGTTTGAAATTGCTTCATATTAATGCATGTGTTTGTGTTTCTGCGCTGATGACGGCTTCGAGATTGCTTCCCGATGTTCTTTGTGCTGCTCTGATTGTAGATCCGGCAAAAAAGTTTGTGTGCTTCCATTAAGAGTTTCATTGTGCAAATTTACGTGGAGTTCCATTTTTGTTTGAGTACATGTCGCCTGCAAATGCTTTGCAATATTTTGCTATTTGACAAACAGTTCAGTTAGACAATAAAGCTACCAAACTAACCAAAAATGTAAAATCAACTTTTCATTTCCACGTGGCGTCAATTTAAATGCTTATTTTACGTGTTAAAAATTATTTAAAAAAAATAACAATGATGCGAACAGATGATAAATGGCTGTTTAACCATCAAAACAAAATAACGGCACAACATCACCATACATATCTCCTGATACACTCATGAAATCATCAAAACCTGTGCAACTACAACTTCATATCACCACAAACACACAACAGCACATCACAACACTACCTCCCTGACGCTGACATTTACGATGACGTTGACGAAAATGCAATGAGGCAAATATGACGTCGATGTTGATGCTGACATGCGCACACACACATACACACACACGTACACACACAATGACACACAGAGAAAAGTTTGTTTCCTAATAAAAATTGTAGTTTCTCCAATTGAATGAATGCACTGTAAATGCTATTTTAAATGTATTTTCAATTTAACATGCTGAAAATGTTAAATTGAATTTGTAACAAACAATCGAAATAAATGTCAATAAGTTTTATTTTTAAACCGTTTAGTAGTTAGATTCACTTTTATCATCATGACATCGCATTCCTATTGGAATCTCCGTACTTATTTCCATCCAATTGTGGTTTTTTTGTTCATTTTCATATTGCAATGTAGATGCGATATTTTCAAACTTTCAACAGAAGACTACGGAAAATCGAAATTAGCATAAACGAATGCTGAACATTTGTCTAAACAAAACTGTTTCCTGACACCTTAGACCCACTTGTGTTTCAAACATTTTTGTTAATTGGTGTTAGGTATTTGTTGATGAAATTTCGTGTTCATTTTATTTTGTTGTTGTAGCAACGTTGTATTGATGTTGTTATTATGTTGATGACTTGTTGGTTGTTGTGAGTAGGTTCTTGAAACATATTTTCAACTTTTCTATTTTTTACATGTGGTTTTTACGGGCTATTAGAAACGTTTGCACAGTTGCACCAAAGTTCCATTTTAACAGTTTTAAATTGCAGATAGTGATGAAACAATCAATACTTTTATATAACTAAATCTTTAAAACAAAAATTAAAATTAGACAAAAAACTAATTTATTTCGGTCTTAAAATTCTTATATGATAACTAAATAAATAACAAAATTGAATAGTATGAAAACGATTGATGACAATTTTAATTGAATTCAGAACAAGTTACACTTAATTTATTTAATCTGTGAAGAAGAATGTCTGCGGTCACCATGTTGCATGATGTTGAATTGATGGGTCAGATCTTTCCACATAGCATCTCTCTCAACGTGTATCCCACGTCGCACTGAGGTAATCCAAGATGAAGATACGTAGGAAGGCTTAGGTATAGTAGAAATAAAAACATTAAAACAATAAGTAAGATAATGTTCAAAAAACATTTCTAATAATTTACCGAAAATATGAAATAAAAAATTAGCAAAGCAAAATGGTATTCACTCTTTATTTGAGTATTTAGTTGTATTAACAAAAATGCCTCTTTTATAAAACAATTTCTTATCAATGCATTAATTTGTTAACGTGATATTATCGTAATATAAATTGTCAATGTTTATAATTGTATATTCCTTCACATGTTCCAACGACATCAATATTGTAAAAAATTTATGATTTATTATTTAATATCGAGTAGGTTAATATTAATATTATAGTTAAGTATTTTTTATGAAATTGTACGTGTTTATCATTTCATTCTTTTCGTTTTCTGTGTTATATTAAATTGATTTGATTAATTTTTTTTAATTAAATCTGGAATAAATTGAAAATCAAAAAGATGTTTCTTGGATTTTCGCTGGCAACCGCACAAATCAATCTTTCTGTCAATCTGAACATCTGAGGATTAAATGCTCCCACAACCAAGTCATATTCATCGAGGTTTGTTGACTGCTTGTGTCTACTCTTTTCAGTCTTATGTGAAATTAACGAATTAATTTCACCAATTTATACGTAAATAAATTTCTACTAACGAATTAAAGATGGCGAAGTATGGTCGCATGCAGTTGAGCAGATGTGCCAGAGGTGAGTTCGGTTACCTGGAGTGTTGGGCTGACGTCACGACCATCCTTGATGAACATTGTTCTGGTCGGCGGTCTTGCGTCGTGAAGGTCTTGGATGAGAATTTCCAAAATCTTCGTCCCTGCCACGACGATCTAAAGTCCTACCTAGAGGTCGCCCATACTTGTCTTCCAGGTTTGAACCCCGTTCAACTTTCCATTTTATTTTTCATGTACTATGAAAATCAAATCAATATGTTTGAAAAAATACAATTTTGCTAGTTTTCAATGAATTATTTCAAAATCACATCGTAGTAAGATGTTGCGGGAAAAAAAGATTAAAAGATTTCTGCTGGCAAAAGTTTCATTTATTCGCTTCGCAATCATTATCTGACTGTTCAACCGCATCAACTAAGACTTACTTTGTTAAAAAAATGCACATATTAAATTTTAAATGATATAACAATGGTTTCTTGTATAGATACCAGGATGGCATCTTGTTTTTAATTGTATTTGCAAGCAGTCTATGACAGGTACACAAATAACGACATAGTATAAGCCCATCAATATACTTACTTATAAATAAATAGCGTTTTTATAAATAAGCACACGGATACACAGACAAATGCGTACCGAGAAATACTCATGCATCATTTAACGAAGAATCATTTGAGGGAGTGTAAGCTGCGGCATACATCATAACAATGAAGACGAGTGGAGTAGCACATAGACGCAGCTTTATGTTTCTGAATGGATACCCCGTGGTTGGGTTTGTGATGACGTTGAATGGAAAGCAAGCACATGGTTGAGTTTAATGTTTTGTTGTTACTGAGACCGCAAGTTGGTTTATGTTGTTAAATAGAGGCAACCAAGCAGGTTAAATTGTGATATTATTTCAAGAGACCGTACTTGTGAGATTGCTATGTTGCGGCAAGAGTCCACACTCGTTATACATTGCGATGTTGTCTCTCTTCTGTTGTATCTTAAATCCATTTTTTTGTTGTTGATGGAGACAAATGAAATAGTTTTTGCTGTTGTTGTTGTTGTGATAAAAACTGCACGTATGTAAGCTTACGTTTTGGGATGAAAGAGACTACTACAAACACTCGCAAAATTTTGTTTCTATTTCTAATGATATTGCTGAAAATGAATCGTACGATTGAATTAAAACTCAACTGAAGCTCCAAAATTTTATTAAACAAAAAAAAAGCAATATTACGGTTAACTATTGATTCTTCTTCTTTGGTGACAAATTGAACCTCCGTACAATGGCAAACGCAACCCAATGTTAACTCAATTTTCATTTAATTTCTCGTTGTTGGGCTTTATTTTTCAAGTTTGTCTAATTCAACGGAGAAACAAACATTCAACTGAAACACTAGCCAGAATAAAAAATGTAAAATAAATGGAATTAAGTGGAGAAGTAAAGATGAAAGAAAAATAAAAACAAGAAGAGAAAACAAAACGTGGGAAAACGTGGGAAAGTAAAGGAATAGACGACGGTAGATCATGTGACTAATGAATGAAGAGTCCATGACCATTGTTCAGCGCGGGTAACTTCGCGTTGTTTCGACTCCCCAGACGATATGTCATTGTTTGTTTCTCGCTCTTTCATTGCACTCCTCTACTCGCTACTTTATCCAGTCCTAACCGAATTTATAAAACCTTTTATCATCGTCTTTCTTGTGTTTTTTCTCAGTGAAGTTGCTATTTTTTTAAATTTTTTATACAGTTCTTAAGCATTTTTTAATTTTTGTCTGTAGTTATAATGACCATCAATTCATTTAGTGTGTCCTGAAAATGTACATTCAACAGTAGGTGGAAATTCAATTTTCATATGAATTTGATAAAAAACAAATTATTTTAATTTTACATTCCACTTATATATTTGTTTCCATGCTTTTTATTCAAACCATTTCAAAAACTAACCTCAGACCCTTCACCTTAATAATTTGTAAACTTTCAAACTCAGTTATTAGTTTTTGATGATAATAAAATGTCATAAAAAATGTAAAATCGAAACAAGAGGATAAATAAATATTATATTGATTGGAAGAAGCAAGCTAATTAAATCAGGTGATGAATGATGTTATATAGCTTTTAAAGATATCGCAGAAAAATAAATGAACTTGGTGATAAATTTTTTGCATGTCAGTTTTTTGCTGTTAATGTTAAAAAAACTAATTTTTTTAAATATTATTTGGCAAGGATCTGGTCGTGTGAAATGTTTCAAATTAATTTGAAATTCACTAACTATTAATATTGAAAGGTGTAAGATCTTTAAACACTTACAAACATTCGGGAAATATTTTTCCTGGTGCAAAATCATGTAATTAACTTTATAAATTTATGCGAGACAAATAATCCAGTCTAATAATAAATACTCCATATTAGGCGATCAAAAGAGGCCGCGATAGTTTTTCGAGTTAAAATGTCCGCTGGTGCGTGTTGAAGAGCGCTTATCATTAATTCATATGCATCTTCAGTCATACGTGATTCTAGATATTGCCGGGATGTTGATTTGGCAGTGGAAATTGTGCTACTGTGAGTTAGTTTTGTCTTTGTGATTTTAATTGCGGAAGCTTCAGTCTTTGGATGTTCAATTTATTTTAGGAGGTTTTTTATTTAACATTAATTTTTAACTTTTTTCAATTGTGTGTAATCATTAATCAATCCTTTTGTTGAAATTACGATGAAGAAGTTATACACGATCTCTCACGTAGTGGTAACCATGATGACAAATGCATTACTTAGTGGCCGCTAATAATGTTATCGATGACTTTGAGTATTAATAACGACAGTGCATCGCTAAATCATCAAACAACGTGATAAAAAAAGTCAGAAAATGATGAATTGATAAGAAACATCACAGGAATGATGTCTTATTGACGTGTATAAAATTGAAAATGGATTTATGAGCCGCGCTGTCTTTTTTCTTTCTCTTCCCTCCATCATTCTTTCTTTCTTTCTTGAATTTTTTCGTTGTTTCCATTTTTTGTTATTTTCCCAAATATTCATTTATTTCGCATCTCTCTACATTTTTATCATTCCACTTTAAAATTTTTCTAACGTTTCCACTGTAACATTGATTTCTTTTCATCCACATCTTTGCTCACATAATCTTTTTTATATTTTTTACTTTAATTTTTATATTTATTCTAAAATAACGACAAAAACGACTTCATTCAAATAGTTGTGACACCTTCCAGCACGGGAACCTGCACCATCAATTCCTACCAACACAACACCAATCTTACCAGTTTCGGTTTCATATCCAGCCTCATTTCCATGGAAAGCAACTGCGGATTTTCAGAGACTCCGTGGAAGATTTTGCTGCAGTTGGGTCAAAAGATCAACTTTACTTTAGTGGACTTCAGCACTGAGACTTCTCAAAAGGTCAAGGTCACAGCAGGAGGTCTGCACGTGCCGGTAAGTTATAAAAAGGTTTCATGAACTCCTTAGATTTTTTTCGCTACGAGGTTCGATTTTAAAAGATTGGTTATACAAATTGTCATTTATAAAAGTATTAGAACAAATGTTATTAATTTGTTTGAACAAATATAAAAGTCAATTTTTATTGATACTTCTGCAATATTCATGTAGTACCACACAACATACGTCCCGCATCTTGTTTACACTCTCACGACAACAACTATGACATTAGCGAAAGTGTTGCATACATCGCAAGCATCTTCTAAACTTTTAAAACAACAACAATATCAGCCACTACAACTACAACGTCAACAGCAGCAACAACAAAAACAACAACTACCGAACAATCGCCAGCAATCCCAACAAAAATGCAAAGCATTATACGCCATCATAAAAGATCTTGCATTAAGCTCCAAGCTTGTCAACGTATGCGGTGGAGGAGGTCTTGCCGCCTTTGCTGCTGATGGTCGTCGCTTCATATTCCGCGGTGGTGGTGGTAGTGGCGATTCTGTGACGGTTAACCAAAGTGTCGTTTATGTCGGTAGAATAAAACACATCGCTGTTACCAATGGCAACGAGGCGGAGGTCATGTTTAGCCAGGACATTCTCATCACCGGATACCACTTTCTTATTGTTTTTGAAGGTTGGGTGTGATTTTTCACTGTTTGTTCATTTGTATGATTAATTTTGTATCCAATAAGTTGTCATCGTATAGATGCTGTTTGATTGATTTTGTATATGAAATAGATCAGCAAATTACTTCGAGACGACATTAAATTAAGGAACGAAGAGGAGTTGTGCGTGTGTCCAGTTGAACCCAACCAAATACATTTTGTTTAGGAAAAAATTGCGATTTTTCCATTATTCTATAATAAATATTCAACAATAATAAATGAACAACTTTATTTTGTGTAACATTTTTTAATGATAGCGTACGAAAAAGTATTAGTATAATGTTGCAGAAATTTTTTTGATCAAATTTTCAAAATGATGAGAAATATTACCAAGAACGCCCAAAATAAAAAAAACGAAGTTTCTATGTTTAAATAGACTTTTTGATATGCATCTAATGTAATTATTCAACTTTTTAAATCATTTAAAACAATAGAAGCACTGCCTGAATTTAATTTGGTTCATGCTGCAGCAATAATTTTTTCTCTCAAAAAGAATAATTAAATTTAGTTTTGGTATAATGCTATTATCCTTTCATCTTCACGTTAAAACTTTGTGATGCCTCTCTTTCTCCTATATCTTGCTTTCTTATTTATTATTTATATTAATTTTCGGTTGGTATACATTTTTTTCATCTGTCTTTTTAATATTTCACCAAAGGACATGTATTATTTTGTTCTACGTTTTCCTATGCTATTTAATTTTTTTCGTTTTTAAGCAAAATTTCGCAAGAAAAAACTTTGACCATTGAGATTTTTTTCTTTAATTATTTTTAATTTTAATTCTTTTTTAAATGTTATTAAAGTTAAATATATATAATATATGAATGCAAAGTTGTGATGATTCATGCAAAAACAACGAGATTCTTTAACTAAAAATGAAACGGAAGTGATATAGGAATTACACACGCATCCACAAATGCCCTCCATATTTCAATAAAAATTCAGCGCTAGGAAAACTATATGGAGATGACAAATTACTGAAAATCATGCACGTCACAGCAGTCGGATATGGCTGTAATGCATGCTTAATCCCTGCATGTTTCAACGAAATCGCCCACTGAAAGAACATTTCTAACATCCAGCCCATCACCAAAACAACAAATATTTTGCAAGTGTTAATTCCTTATCAAATAAGTATTTATGCTTCATAACTAAACTGTTGTGAGAGGACAATACCTATTTTCCATTACAAATACTATTTCGATGAATGCAGATGAACGTGATTTCGTTTTACGGCATCCATTTATTTTCATTTTTTTATAACATCTTGAAAAATGTTGTGAATATTTTTTTGTCGCAAATTTTCATTTGCGTAAAGAATTAGAAGTAGCGACTGAACATGTAGCAAGTAGCATGGGTAGTGCTAATACTTTGTAGGCTTGTAGAGGAATAGCAGCCCCTGATTTAACTGACCTCACACAACGAAGTATGATGGTTTTACAAGCGTTTTTGATCTTTTCATAAAAATGTACTACTCAATTTTTATTAAATTTTTTTTTTATAAATTTGAAAAACAAAACGACTAACAGTTAATTGACCAAAAGCTTAAGTCGGCATAGCTTGAAGTTGAACATAATAATTTTCAAAAACAATTTTCTGATATCAATTTATTTAAATCTTATGTAGTTTCCACATCAGTGCAAACGAAAAATTGTGAACCAGCTTCGTAAAGTCTATAAAATAAAATCCACCGCCATTTAAAATTTAAAAAGATAAGCTTCATGAGAGAGAAGAGCATTTAAAAACTTTTTGAAAACCATTGCATTTTTTCGATGAGTTCGTTTTAAAGCATCCATTAAATAATTTTGCGTCGACAATATTAGAGCTTCAACTATTTTTTTCAATTATTGAAAAAATAATTCCGCTTTTAAATGTTCTTAGCAATTGAAAAATTATAAAATTCTGCATCAAATCACGTTTTCAAACGTCATCTGTCCAGTCCAATTTGTTTTTCCTTGTTTGCTTTCTATTTTATTATTTTGAATTTCCTGCCCTACAAACAGCCATTGGATGCATTGAAATGGATGAACCTGATGGTGCATGGATCAAGCAGAACAAAACCTCCGCCATCATAGGCTGCCATGGAACACATGTCACGTGGTTGATGACGTGTACGAGGGGCTTGTGGGTGGGAGAGACACGAAACTGTTCAGCTGGTTGGTTGATTGGTTGGTTGATTGGTTGGTTGATTGGTTGGTTGATTGGTTGGTTGGTTGGTTGGCTGGCTTTGACTGGTCAGTTAATTGTTTTGTTGGTTGATTGGTTGGTTGATTGGTTGGTTGGATGGCTGGCTGGCTTTGGCTGGTTTGTTAATTGGTTGGTTGGTTAGTTGGATGGCTGATTGATTGATTGGTCAGTTTTTGGTTAGTTGGCTGGTTGATTGATTGGTTGGTTTTTGGTTCTTTAGTTGGCTGAATGGTATGGGGGTAAATTTTGAGTTGCTGTGAAAATGAGGTGGCAAAATGATAAAACAGTTGAAGCGTCTGTTTCTGCTTTGGCACTGGCTAGGTTGGGACGCAAACACGCGCCACGTGTGATGCGACGATTCATGCGTCTTTATTTCTCTGAATTAGATAATGAACAGTAACATTAAAAAGATGTAGAAATAGATGACCAATTTGAAGTGTTTGGATGAAGAGTTTTACACATTTTTCACAACAAAACACTAGAAGAAAGAAAAACCATTAAAATACAATTCAATAGTTGATTATTTACTATTTAAATAACATAGCAACGCATACGCAATGTATTTGTAATGTGAACCAAAAAATATTTAAACATCAATCACCCCAAAAATCCCTGTAACGAAAGAATTATATTTCAAAGAAAAAAATCAAAGAAATACTACCCTAACGACAAAATATTAAAATATACTGCTCCGAAAGTACCAATAACGGTTGTCATGGTTACATGACGCTTAATTAAACTTCAATATAACACCTCGATGGCAAACAGTCGTAAAGTGTTTATGTATGCATGAGTGTCTAAGCGCTAGTCTCACCGGAGCACGACTGCTGCTTCTGTGCGTGTACTGTGTATGTGTGTATGTGTGTGTGTGTGTGTACGTGTGTGTGTGTATGTGTTTATGTGCGTGCGTGTGTGTGTATGTGTGCGTGTGTGTGTTTGTGGTTAGGGTTTGTGTACGTGCGTGTGGGTGTGTATGTGTGTGTATCTGTTTTGTGTGTGTGTATGTGTGTGCGTGCCAAAACGTTAGCGAATCCTTTATAATCTTCATACAAATATGTGAATTTGTGTGGCGGATATGTGAGGTGAGCCTGAATATTGCAGGCCCGCTGCATATCTAATTAGGAGCAATTGAGATGTAATGGACTTAATTGAAACAAATGAACATCACATTTCATCCCGTAATTTAATATCATCCCGTATGTATGTATGTATGTATGTATGTATGTATGGATATATATATATATATATATATATATATATTTTTATATGTATATAACGTACATATATATATATATATATTTATATATATACGTTGTACATACTTTTAGGCATGTATTGTATATTTGCATAGAGTTAAGTATAAAATAGATTGAAACTTTATATGAAATTAAATAAAACCCATACCACATTAATGCACATATTTCATAGGTAAAACACAAAAATTTACAAATGTGTAAAGAGAGACAAACGAACAAACAAACGTATATTTCGAATATGAAACCTAACTACAAAATTAGGCTGGCCATGTTTGGACTTAAGAACTGCAGAAATACACGAGTGTAGGTTTTCGAAATGAAAAAGACTCATTTTTCGTATAGAGTTCATGTTTGTGTGCATGAATAAGTAGGTAGGCTTGCGTGTAAATAGATGTGAATGCACATGATGTTAATGCATGTACACACGTTTGTACCGTTGTGTATTATTACAAATGTTTGTGCGTATGTTTAGGTGTTTGTACGAATATATAGGACGGAACAAGCGCCTGTGGTTGTTTAGCAAAGATACCATAACACCACAAATGAATGTGGGCGTCATTAGGAATGGCTGAAGATTTTTAATTAAATGATAAATGTTATTATAAAAATTAGCTAGTTAAAGTAGTTAATAAAAATCAATAATTGCAAATTGATTAATATTAATAGAAAAATTACTAACATGAAAATTTTATTGACCTGTGTACAGTGCAGTACAGTACGTTAATAAGAATCACGTAATGTTTTCCACTTCTATACTTTGAGATTTTGTTCATTTGTCCAGTCATACATGTACACGCACACACACGGAATGACGCGCTGACACGCTGCAACCGTCAGCCTCCCATCTTCAAACTCCATTGAAATTGTTTTAACGAAGCGTCATGACTGTTACATGGCTTAAATATTCTGCTCTCTACACTAATGAAATCAAACTAGAACACAATAACTACAACAGAAATTTTTTTAAACACCTCATATTAAAGGTTGAATGTCATTACAACAAAACGCAATATACAACGATTTAACCACAACAAAACGAATATATACCCCTGTGGTCCATAATAATAAATGCTAAAATGAACAAGCCAGTCTAAAAAGAGAATAAAGAGCCAACGTTCACACGCTTTTTATAATTGCTATTACACGTCTCTAATCGTTAGCTGTGGACAAATGAGGTAACGTCATGGTTATTAAGTTATTAAAAAATAATGATTTCATGCCACCATCATAAAAATTTAATAATCTAACTGATTAACAGCACATAAAGCAGTAGGATATTATGTGGTTTTTTTGGTACAAACATGATATTCTGAGGTCGGTCACCTTGTAAATATTGGTGAACAAGCAATCGCAATTGTATCTTACATCAAAAGTCACAATTTACAACAAACAACGTTTATTTACGATATAATAACAACAGAACTAAGACCAAACGAAGCATACAGCACTGAACACAACAGAACACAGCACAATACCCAGCATAGTGTTGAATACAACGACACATCAGACAGCACATCACACGAACAAGAAACACCAAACAACAAAACACCTGAGCAACAAACTACTAAACAACACTTAACAATACAACACTGATGTACACACAAACACAGGTGCCAGGAGAATATTTGCTGACGTCAGCTCATCATTACACTCCTATCTACTACTGCCCCTAGGTACGTTTTCATTCATTGAAACATTTCGCGGGGTATCGAACGCAAGACATGCGTACTCGCGCAAGTACACTTTCGTTTGTATTTCTGCTGCTCTGGCGTCTTTCCATCTACGCATACGTACATCAACTTTGTATTTTTGTGAAGCAATAGATGGCCTGGCATATTATTTTGAAGAAGTGCGTGTGTGAGTGTGCTAGTGTGCAGTTGTTTGTGTGTGCGTGCATATTCAAGTTAGTTTGTCCTTTTGAATCTGCATGTTTAGATGCATTTATCCATGCGCCTGTGCGTGTTTGGCATAAGTAAATAAATATTTGTTCATATGCGAATTTATACAGTTTGCACATATCTGTGTTTATACTTGTTCAAGGATATGTCAACAATGAAAGTTTGTAGGAATGTTTGAAAATATTTTCGCATATAGAGAGCAATGCAAGCAAACATGCACACATATTTGCAATAAAATGGAAGTTTTGATGTTAGTGCAAGAACGGAACGGCATGTTTATAAATTGTTAGATAAATGTTGAGATAGCATTAGATGATGCAAACGATAAATATGTCACGGAGATTAATCAACTGCGGCATATCAATTTTTTATATATTTTTTCAAAGATTTTTTTTCGTAAAAATATTTCAATTCCCATATTTTGGAATCCGTTAGATATTGATTTTTCTCTTAAAAATGAAAATTGGTTTTCGTTCATTTTATAAAACGAAACAGTTTATTTTTTTATTTATCAATATTTTGGTTGCAAAGGAAACTAATATTCTACTTCAAACAGTTTCAAATGTTTGGAAAACTAAAAATTTGTTTCTGTTTGTTTGAAATCATTGCAACCACATACAAAATATTTTCGCTTTGGAACTTAATGGCAATCTCAGTATATTAAATGTTTTCTTTCGCTTAAATAATTCATATCATGCTTTTCATAGGAACATTTCAATTTTTTCATCATTAAGCACAATATTTTATCAAAAACAGTTTTTCAATTTTAATTACTTGTTTCTCATTTTCACCTTCAATTCAGATTAAATTAGTTGTCTTTTTCATAGTTTTGCTTGTATTATAAAAGAAATAATTATACGTAAATTCAGCTTAGAAGCTGGTGAATAATTTTTGTCCGATTATTTGTCTATGCGCAAGTTATAATCTTACATAATCTTATCTCATCACCTTGATTTACATTATTTCTGAGTAGAAATGATCCATTTTTAACCATTAAATCCTTTCAATTATCTTAAGTGCCTCTCTTTTCAAAACTTTCACTATATCGGCTTCAAGTTTACCATTTCTAATTAGAACATCCATTCAATGTTTTAACCGTTGAAGAAGCAATCATTGAGGCATAAAGACCTTAGGTCTGAGTTCGTCCATTACAGTTATGTTATGTAACTGTAACTAATACTAGCAAAAATAAAATAATTGCATTTCTGGTCACTTTAAACTAATATTACTGTATCGTTTTTAAAAAATTGTTTCAAAGTATTATAAAACAAGTTTTGCTATTTAAAGATTTAAAGCATTTATTATATCTAGTGGTAAATCAAGTTTTTTGTTTCTTTTTTTTTAAAAACAATTTTATTATTTCATAAAACGCGTCATAAAATTAAAAAGCTTTACTACCGCGAAGTTGTTTTAGCGTTGAAGAACGTGGCCAATAAATTTTTTTTCTCTTCGAAAAACCCCTGCAAGTCAAATTAAATTTAACATTTGCTCAGAAATGTCCTTGCCAATTATACTTACGTTGGCCGTTCTTATCGGAGTTAGTGTTCTCTTCATTGGCATCGTCTGTATGCGCAAGTTAGTAGGTTATGGTGATGGTTTGTTGCTTGGAGTTGCATTTGTAGTTGTTTTTATTGTTTGATTTTGTTTGTACTGCCAGTTTTGTTTGCAGCGAGTAAATATATTAGTAAGACAGAAAATTATTTTGTTAAAAATGATAAGATAATGCACGGGAGCATACAGCAGACAATTTGTGTGGTTGCCATCACATCCTATGCTAAGGGTGGAAACAAGAAAATGTTGTTGTGGCTGGAAGGATTTGTTGTTGCAACGATCATGAATATGACTGAGAGAAAAAGGATTTACGATAGTGATGATGATAATTTATGGATGGCGATGATAGTCTGAAAGATGATGAAAATGAATTTAGGTGTATGGATGAATGAAGCGATAATGATGATGAATGGTGTGTGCTGGTGGTGTTGATGATGGTAGTGACGATTGATGTGGTGATGGTAATAGTTGAAGTTTGTCTGATGTGAAACGATGATAGGAAACTGAATGATGGTCGTTTCGCTGCCTTGATAGATAAGTTTCATTTCGTTTGCTCCTCATACAATTCTGCTCACCAAGTTTAAATGTCATTTTAACTTTTGTTGATTTATAAGATTCCAGCATACTTACGCCACACCATCTACGTTGGCAACTTCTTCACCTAAAATGGCAACCTTCACAGTGACGTCCCAAAAAAACAAAAGTAAAAAAGATAAACGACGCAAGTTTGATTGCTTTTCAACAAAAATATCATCATGTCACAAACCTCAATTACGAAAGGCGTGCAGTAACAACCAAACAATTGAAAAAAATCACATCAACATTTTCCCTCCACCGCCGATCACCCCAACAAATTATTGGCAATTCTCCTCATCTCTACCCCTACCTTCTAATCAAAACGCAACGTTGGCAAAGTTGAAGAACACCACCACCAACAACAACAATAGCCAGAGCAACTGCACTTACGACCCCGTAAACAACAAACAACTTCAACAACAACATCCACCACAATGCCTTTGTTTGATGTCGCCGATGTTACATCAAACCAGTGACAACCTGATGAAATGTTGTTGCTCAAATTCAATAACCAATCTCGAACGAACTATTTTCTTGCGCTGTGATTCACCGCAGCTCTGTAGGATGGCCAGCCAACCGGCTGCCGGTGAAATGGAACACGTGGAAAACTCAAATATCTTCGATCAATCACTCATTACTGACGCTGGGAATGTGTCGTGTGTTTTTATAAATTCAAGGTCAAGGACGAATGGAGTGTTAAGTTTGAAGAGCGATTGTGATTCTGGCGAGAGGATGATCAATCGTAACGTGATTGAATCTGAAGAACTCGCATCCATCAACGCCAGCGACGTCAATATGCTTCCCAACAACAACAACAACAACAACAGCAACAACAACAACAACATTAAAAACAACAATCACTCGAATGAAAATGCACTAAGCAACGATTTCAACGTTGACGTCATCAGCAATAATAGCAACAATAACACCAACGATGCCCAGTCTTTCTGCCATCATTCGGATTTCCCATTTTTTTTAGATGTACAAATCAACAACAACAATCAGACGAACAACATCAAAGTGAATAAAGATCATAGAAAAGACAAAACTAATACATTAGGTAAGGAGAAACATTCCAAACAGAACAGATATCAGACCCGCCACCACCAACAACAACAGCAGCAACAACAACAACAACCTCATCTAGACCAACAACACGATCATCAACGCTGCAGCGATAATACAACAACATTTTTATCATTAGATCCAGTGTCCTACTTACATGCAGATTATAAAAAGCTTGTCTGACTGTATTGTTGAAGAAATAATTTACTGACCAGGTCGTGGTCTTTAATGTTCGTTCGTTCGTTCGTTCGTTCGTTCTCACTCATACTCACTGCAACATTTCTTATTTGTTTGTTGGTTTTCACGATTATCGCATATATATATACTTGTTAATATTATATGTTTATTTCTTTTTGAAATAACAACACGCTTTAATAAATTTTATTTTGAACGAATCAAAGTTTAGGCGCACAACACACGATAACATTCAACGTTCAATTATACTTAACTAATTTTGAAACAGAAAATTTGACAACGTGAATGGGAAACAACCAACTTTGGGAGGATACAATCGAAGAAAAATTTAGAAAAACCACTTTTTGATTATTTATAAATTTAACATTTTTCTCAGTTTTTTTGGTTCAATTATGAAATTTTAATCATTTTGTATCGAATGAAATATTTTTCACGATTGCTTCAAATTCAAAAATTTTTTCACACGCGTAAGTCTCGGATTAATTTCCAATCTAACTCAATTTAAAAATGGAACATGTTTACAAAACTCTCATTTAAGTTAAATCTCTACAATCAGCATAAAAAATAATTCAAATTTCTGGAGCCATAAAAAAATCTTCTTTCAAATGTGCGTTAACTGAAGCGAAAAAATAACACAACAATCGTAATGAGTCATAAAACAACAAAGCATGGTTAGAACGAATGCTATTAAACTGAACAACAAATGAAAGAACGAATAGGCGAACCAGGAAAAATAGCGGCAACAAATGACAAAGTGACTCGATCACAAAATCAATTGATCGTGTCTTATTGATCATAATGTACGATGCCTCCAGCTCGATCACTGCCCCTTCCTATTTATCCTCTTGCGATACCATATAGCGATGGTCCATTTTCAATCACAAATTTATTACATTTAATAAGTTTAATCATTCGCATTGCATAGTAGGAAGTTTAATGATTACAAAATACTTAAATCTTTATGAAAACACAAAAACGTATTATATATGTTAAACTCAAATTTAACAATATATATTTTTCATTGAAATTTGCAAATTAATTGACAATCATATACAATGACTGAAACTTCAAACTATTCACATTTCTGTACGACTGTGTATTAATGATAAAAACGTGGAAAATGATAAATATATAAATTTCAATTATATAAAGACATGTGAAATAGTGTAGGAATGAATGTTCAAATAGCTAAAAACCAGTACAAATGAACAAGAAACATGAGAAACGTAGCAGAGAAGAAGACATTATTGTGAAATATCGATTAAATGATTAGTGAGAAGACTAATAGAAGAAGAAGAAGAAGAAGAAGAAGTCTCCGTCTTCTAATCAGTCAATAAAATGTCGTCTCCATGTTACATGTACGTGGGCCTTCCGTGTTCTTGCGTGATATAAAGTTGTTTGTTAATTTTTTATACACTCCAGTTCAAAATCTTACCGTTTAATATTTTATTTGTTTGGATATCTTCTTGATAAATTTTGTATGTTTTCATATGTCGAAATATCTCTAATACATTAAATAAAAGTAAATTATGCTATCTAAAAAATCCCAGTTTAATTTTTTTATTATATCAATAATTAAAAAAATCTTTACAAACTTTGGAAGAAGTTAAAAACTTCAATCTGTTGAGTTAAGTTCAAAATTTTTGTAACAGTTCACACCTCCAGAAAAATAAACCAGTTATCTGAAACCCTTGGAGAATCATGGATATTTCAAATATCACATTGTAATACTATTTCATCATTTCATGGTAGTTAAAATACTCATTAGAAACTTTTACAATTTCTAAAAATAAGTTGTCGATTATATTTATTTTCCTGCTTTATAATCTTTCATGATAAATTAATGTGAATTCATGAATAATTTCTTGTATTTGTATGAACGAATGAAAAATGAATGACGAACGATCAAATGAACGATTCAATTTATTTCTCATTCGCAAGAGACTTCTAAACATATTGAGTTATTGAACATACACCTAGTTACCATGTGGCACAAAAACTACTTTGAGGTTGTGTGTCACAAAATATTTTTAAAGTGATGTTTTAAAAACTGTGTATCAAGGGTGGATCTAGATTAGAAATGCTTGCCCTTGGCAACTTTTTGTTTGCTTATAGCACAATTATGTGTCAATTTTTATATTTGAAACTGCGTTTTTGTCTATAAAATGTATTTAAACGATATTATTTGACTAAATTTTAAAAAAATTAGCGCAAAATGGTTTTTGACTGTTGATAACGAGGACTGCTATCCTTCTTCGGCACCCATCTAAATTCGACACTGAACAGGTGAATCTCAATTTTACTCGTATTGTGAATTCCTGTCTAATTAAATGTCTTGTTAATTTAAATTTTTTATATTTTCAGAAATGATTATTTGAACTGTTTCTCTGAATCTAGAAAACTAATATTCCAGTTAAGAATAACTAAGTTTTAAACTTGAGATAAAAAGAAGAACGATTTGAAGCATTAATTTATTTAATGACACAAATGTAGCGATACAAGGAAACAATGTATGCAATTGAAAAAAATCTGCAAAAATCTTAAACGGTAATAAATAATTGAAGGTTCCCATATATGACGGTTTAGTTTCAAATTAACATCTTCAAAGAGTAAAGACATAGCTTTTTAGCGCTCCAAATAGCCAAAATATTTCGTTGTTTTTAAACATTGCAGAGATATTTACAATTTTTATAATTTATGTTTCACCATGAATGCATCACTAGGGAAATACCGACTCTGAAATACTTATTTTGTTTAGCGTTGTATATCGGCTGAAATTGATTTAATTTCCATCTGATTATTTGATTGATTTTCCTCTAAATTTTTTCTTAACAATTTGCTATTCATTTTTCAATTTGTTAGAAGAACCTGGACAGAGACAAACTTTTAACCAACAGCTACCGAGAACAAAAAAGTTCCGCAATGAAACTTGAATAATATGTAAACATGTTCTAGTATTTTCAACTCTGTTCTCAAAGTGAAGTAAATGAAAATATGATTATGTTATAAAAATATCTGTACGAACGTAACGTAGCTTGCCTAGCGTAGTTTGGAATTAAGTTGGAATGTTTTCAACCGTGCAACAACTCTCACTCGCATCCGTCACAATCAGATTTCCAGCTGAACGCAATCGATGTCTCCAACCCCAGTTCTGAAGTGTTGTAAACCACAAAGTTTCAATATCACTAGCTGAGTTGCAATGTAACTAAAACAGAATGTTCCTTTATATAACATCATCTTTCTTTAAAACTTTTAAATTTTCTAAAAATTTAAAGTACGGAAATGTACTTTCTACAAGTTTTTATTATACGGAGTTCGTTTAGTGCAAAACTACCGTTGCTTTTAAACTCTTTTTGCGAAACTTTGTTTAAAAATTCATATAATGACCTGCCTACGAAAGAAAATATAACAATGCAAAATTGGACCAGAAATGCAGACCTGAGCAAGTTGGAACAAAACAATCAGTCATAAAATATGTATATATATAAATAAAAATAAAACAATGTCATAGTAACGCGTGTTTTATATACGTGTGTGTGTGTGTATGTGGGTGTGTGTGTCTGTGTATTGAGTGATAGTGAGTGAGTATTTTGTATGTATGTATATGTGTAGTGGAACAAGTATACACAAGATATTTCACAATAAGAACTGAAAAACAAAAGCAAGAAAACAAATTTTTCTAATTTAAAAATGAAAGATAATCGTTGCCAAAATGCAAAAACAAAAAACATATGATGGGTTATTTGTAAAAAATGATTCCTTTGTAATGCTGTATTAATAAGCAACAAAAATATTTTTTAAAAATTTTGGAATAATTAACTGCGACCAAAAAAACACGGAATGTAGCAAAAACAAAAATAGCATTTATAAATATTTGTATATCAATAATTCTGGATTATTTTAATAAATAGCAATAATAATTTTTGCAACGGCCTTATGGTACTAACAATTTGTGCACCAGGGGTAAATATCGGCTTTCCATCAATCTTAGCATTTGATGCGTCTGAACAAATAAACGAATAAATGATAATGATTGCAAAAATAGTAACATTAACAATAGTAATAAATAGGAAAATAATAATTAATTTCATCAAAACGCGTGTTATCATCGTTAATTCGCGTTCAATTACACGCATGATGATAAATAGTGGAGACAGCTATAGATACGCACAACGACAATTAATAAGACGCAGACAATGTCAAAAACTACACGAACAACAAACACTACACTGAGTATGAAAAAGTATCAATTTCAAATTAATCTTACGTGAAGATATGGTACGCGTGCAAAAAATGTGTGGTTGAATTATTTTTAAAAACAGTGAAATGTCGTAAAAAATGTTTGTTTCAAACTCATCATCATATACATAGAGACAAATGTAGACCATTTAACAAGTCAACAAATAATACAAGGAATAATTTCATTTGTTGCTCGTCATACGAATTTACCCACTTAGTGAATCACTGCGTTGAATGGTGGTTGTCGAATGATTGTGCAAAATAAGAAACTGTGCTTTAAACGATTTTGAAAATTTTTATTACGAACATTTCTTACATTGACAGAGACAATGAATTTCACATGTTAAACAGCCATTGTTTTTCTTATTACGTGCACAAAATATGAAGCCACATATGGACAGAAATTCTGAAAAAAAAATTATTTTTCACTTTCAAAATTATATGTTTTCTTCACATATATCATTCCTTAAGAATATATTGCATGTATTTTTGATTTTTCAGTTAACGAATTATTGACTGCTGGCTACGCTATTTTAAAAGCATTTTGTTACAATGCTTGTTACAATTTTGTCATTCATCAACGCGATGAAAAATGCAAACGGAAGTGTAAAAATGAAAGATGTTTCAATTAAAAGCTCATGCCTGATAAAAATTATAGAACAAAAATAGTAAATTGTATTTATTTATTTTTTTTAAATTCATACTTACATATGTTAAAATGTCTCAGTTTAACTGTCAGTGAACCAACTCAGCGTGTAAAAAGCAAATAAAATAACATTAAAAATATTTTGCGAGGTTAAGCATTTGAAAATGTTTAAAGTACATACAAAAGTCGTTCACACAAGACATGCCATAACAAGCTGTTTCTGTTCTTTGTTGAGTTTGTTGAGTTGGAGTTGGTACGTGTTGAAGATCTGAACAATTTTTGTCCTGCACAAACTTTTCAAAGAACCCACGATGGAATGTTTCATTAATGGGAAGAGAAGAGGAATGTAGGATTGTGCTCCATCGCCGTTGATTGGTTGGCGGCTAGCTGGCGGCTGATTTGTGGTGGCTGGATTCATGTTTGATTGGTTGTGGTAAGAATGAAAGCTGGAATTTAGTTGATCATTTCGATCTGCAAATTTGAGTGACATTCTATCAAGGGACATTAATGATGAGTCTTTTTGTTTCACTAGGTAACACGAGACATTAGAAACCTGAAGTTGTGTTTGTTGCGGCTTCTGCTTGGTCATGTAGAAGTAATGTTGTTGCTGTTGTTGTTGCTGCTGTTGTTGCGCTATTTTAAATTGTTTCTCATTTATAATAGCAAACTGAATTGTTGAAGTGCTTCTGGCAAAATAGTTTGAATAGTAATCTTGAAATCTGTTGAGGAACTCCGCTACTGAAATCATTGTGCTCGTTGTAGAATACTTGACGCAGATTTTATCTTAAAATTAAATATGTTATTTTTATTAGATATTCGTGTAATAATAATTTTTTTTGACCTTTTTGAAAAAAATTATTCTAAATTTAAAAATAAAGTAAGATTCTGTTGCATAAAAGTTTGAAAGACAAACGTACAAATATCTCAAAATAAAATTGTAATTACGAGGTAAGACCAGGTTAAAATTGTGACTAAAACCTCTGCAGTGATCAATCCTGACATGTCTCGTTCTACTGTTGACTCTGTAGCTGACTGTGAGAACGTGCCAATCATCTGAGCTGTCTCGCAACATGAAAGTTCCATCGGGGCAGGCATGCAGGTAGGCTTGGGCCGCCTCACCATTGCACGGTCCCCAGTACCATGGTTCCTGGTAGGGGTGAATGATTATCTTGCCCACTTTGTGTGTGTGTGTGTGTGTGTAGTGTGTGCGTGCATGCGTGTAAATGATTTAAAAACCTTGAATACAAGTATAGAATGAAAAAAATGTAGTATGACTACACTGGAAACAAGAAGGAACAGAGGAAATTTGATAGAGGCATACAAATTGATTACCAAAAAAGAAGAAACACCGTTTACCAGATTTTTTAAACTAGAGAATAATATAGAATTATGAGGTCACAGATACAAGCTCTCCAAAAAATAGAAAGTACCGTCAACCAAAAATTTTCAGCAGTAGGGTGGTAAACACCTGGAGTGATCTGAGTGATGAGACGGTTTCCGCTGAATCAATCAACAGTATCAAGATCAAACTCGGAAAGTTATGGTAATAAGACACGTATCTCGCAGCGGTTCTCACACAGACTCTAATCTACTGAACCACTTAAAATACTGTTATGTCATGTTTGTTTATGTTTAAATATGGTTTTGATTTGTTTAATTGTTTGTTCGTCTTTCGAGGTTACCATGGGATGCTTGATAGTTTTCGAGGTAAACATATGTCGTCTGAAGTATTTGTTGGTGCAAATTATTAATAACAATTTTGTGAGTAACAAACTAAGTGAGCATTTAAACAATTAGTAAGAAAGAATTAAAATTTTGGAGTGTTTAAAAAAATCTAAAAATATTAATCATTTATATATAGGTCGACATTAACATGATAAGTTTTTTTATACAATGCAGATAAAAAATAAACTGAATCTTACGTTTCTCATCTGCTTGAGGCAATCGAGAAAATCAAATTTCTTTTGGGGCTTGAGGTATGTTGATGACAGAAATTCTAAAAAAAATTTTTGTTTACTTTTAAAGTTTTACGTATTATTCATATTATTCACATACATTTTTCATTATGTACATTAGGGTGGTTACAATGCTATATGTAAAAAAAAAATTTCGAAATCTTATCGGGGGAACCCCCTAAATTGTGCCACTTGACTAAAAAATGACATTTGTAAAGTTTTAGCTCAATTGGATAATGCTAACCCGTGCCTCATCGAGGTTGAAATTTCGAAAAATTGGAAAATTTTGAAAAAACGCAGTTTTTGGTTTGTAAATAAAAACGGTTCACTCTAGAAACATGATTTTGGTTTTATTTTGTTCATTGATTAGTTTTCTTCAAATGTTACTATGATCACTATTTAGCTACAAGTTATAGTTTCTGACATATTTGCATTGTTACAGATACACATTGGAAAAACCTTGAATTTCTCCATAACACAAAAACACACAATAACTTATAAAGAAATGTTTTTAAAATAACACCGTTGTATCTAAATCAATATTATTAACAAATAAACACATTTTTTATTCATATTATATTGTTTATAGTTGTTATACATCAAATAAATTTCTACTTTAACTCGTTGTTCAAAAGGTAGAGGCTCGGATAAGGAGGCTTTTGAGCAACCAGGAAATTTTGTCCGACATTCAGCAATTACTTGCAAAAGATATTTTTGATCTTCCTCTTTTGTAATACATGAGTTGTAATCTGTTATTAATTTAACACCCCTTTCTGCTGTATCATTTGTAACTTTTAATCCGTCCACAATCTTTTTACTCATTAAATATTCTTCGTTGTTACTCCATAATTCTGGATTGGTATGCAAAAATTGATCATTAATATTAAATCTTTTTAAAAAATTACTTGATTGTGATGAAATAAAATGGTCCGCATTTTTGTCCAATATTTCTGATACTTCATTTAATTTTATTAGTGGTTTCATATCACAGTAGTCATCAAGTTCTTCATCCTCATTTGCTTGAGATATTAATTTGTTGCCATCCTCTTTTTTACACAATTACTTAATGAATCATCGAATAATGAAAAAACAGCCTGCTCAAGATTTTGAAACTGATATATCTGAGATAAATTTATTGACTATTGTAATTTACTAAAGATTTTAACAATTGTAAATCTTGGTTTGGAGCAAGTGCAGGTTTCGGGGCATCCAGCCACACTTTCACATAAATATTTATAATAAATAGGCAAATATCATGGAATCCTTGCTTTTCAAAAATTGTCAGTTGAAACTGTTCTCTGAAAAGGTATATTTTCAACGAATATATCGCTTTTGCCATCCACCTTGCGTGATGAAAAGCACCAGGAGCCGCAAACACGATGTTTTCTGACGGAAAGCGTTCTAAAAATATAAGACAAAGATTAATCAATTCTTTGTAATCGCTCCTTGGATGATGAACTGTTAATTGTTCTAGAAGATAGCTTGAAATTTGACCCGGATTAATCAATTTTCTGGCTACACTCTTATCTTTAACTTCAGATTTAAATTTTTTTATCAATGTTGTTTCATTCAGTTTTAAATTTTTTGAAAATATCCGATTGAGGGCCTGTAGTTTTTCCCATCACAGCATCAAAAACGGATCTCAAAACTACCTCAAAAATGTGGTGGCGACATGGAAGATACAATAATTTTTTCTCCATCAATTGCTCTAATAAAACGCAAGCACCTTTAATGCGGCCAGTATTCACGGCAGTTGTGTCAAAGGACATTGCTTGAATCTTGTCAAGTGCACCCCACTTTCCAAATTCTGAATAAACAGATTTTGCAATTGTACTGCCAGCACCATTCTCTAATTGGGGAACTCCAATTAACTATTCTTCTTCTCCACAGCTAATTAAGACTGCAACTCTTTCAACATTTTCTTTATTTAACATATCTGGAAGTAATTTCCCATCCCAATGTACAACTGCTCCTTACCAAAAATGAGAAATCGTAGAAAAACCAAAAGATCTTAATATTAATACATGAAAGCAACATAGAGCACCCGGGTTAGTAATAGTAAATAAGTTATTGTGTGTTTTTGTGTTATGGAGAAATTCAAGGTTTTTCCAATGTGTATCTGTAACAATGCAAATATGTCAGAAACTATAATTTGTAGCTAAATAGTGATCATAGTAACATTTGAAGAAAACTAATCAATGAACAAAATAAAACCAAAATCATGTTTCTAGAGTGAACCGTTTTTATTTACAAACCAAAAACTGCGTTTTTTCGAAATTTTCCAATTTTTCGAAATTTCAACCTCGATGAGGCACGGGTTAGCATTATCCAATTGAGCTAAAACTTTACAAATGTCAATTTTTGGTCAAGTGGCACAATTTAGTGGGTTCCCCCGATAAGATTTTGAAAAAAAATTTCTTGTGACCACCTTAATGTACATATTACATATGTATTTGATACCGAAGCTATTGATACTTTTACTTAAAATAATTTTTTATTTTTTTTTCAAGTTGATTAACTGGTGTCGTATCCTTCATCGACAACTTACTTTGCTAAAAAATTAACTATGCTTGGTTTAAAGAAACTATATAAACCAAATATGCACTAAAGATGAAATGTTGAAAATCGAAATAAGGCCTATCTATAAGATACATTTGAATAACAACAAGTTTCATGAAAAACTTGGATAATAATCTTATTTTCAATAAAATGAACAATTTTCAGAAAATTCTTGTAAGGAAAATTGAAAAGACAAACTTTAAATGCAAACAAATCGGTAGAATTCATATAATACTGTATACATTAGGGTCTTCTTCCTATATATATATATATATATATATATATATATATATATATATATATTTATATATTTATATATATATATTTATATATATATCAACATATACGTGTTCACATCAAATTTTTATTGTAATAAAATATATATACAAAAGTGTAGAAAGGTTATGAATATTTAAACAGACATCCATTCGTACGTATAAGGCCCCTACTTTCAATGTTTTTATAATGAAAAAATTCAATAACTAAATAGCGATATAAATATAGATCTATATTTGTAATGGCAGCTAAAATAAAATTAAATACACGAATGCGCAGGTGCAAATTTAATGCGAGAGAAGATAGATTTTCATTCAACTCTTTTTAAATGGCATGATTATTAATATAAAATAGTGATTTATATATTTTAATATATATATATATATATATATAATATATATATATAAATGTTTTTTGCTTGTGTTTTTGTGTGTATGTATGTGTGTGTGTGTGCAGTTTCATACACAAGATCCTCACACACAGTAAATTTACTACAGCCAACTACATATTCGGTTTTGGAAAAACACTAATTAGTAATTAGAGACACGCAAACGTACATGGCAGGTTATCTTAGATTTAACACGGATCATACACTTTTCTATCAAATTACTCGAAATACATATTTATGTTATGTCATTTTGTTATCAATTTATTTCAATTCAATTCTTTTTCAATTCTTTATCAATATGATAAATATTTTTATCAATTGATGTATATATATATACGTAGTTTAACAAAAGAAAAAATTTGAGAACGTATATTGTTTCAATTTTTATAAATGAAACCTAAAATTAACTTTGTATTTGAAAAAAATTTTGTTAACTATGTTCAGATTAATTTTGAATTAAGTTAATATGATGAGGTATTCAAAAACCGCAATTAAAAATGAATAAACGAAACAAACATAAAAAAATGTTAACCAAAAATAAAATAAACAACGAATAAATAAATGAATAATTGAGTGAATGAATGAGGAGTGAGCAAATGAGTAAATGAACGAACGAACGAACGAACGAATGAAAATTATCTAAATGAAAATAATCAACCGTCCAGGGTTTGCTGACTCGCTTGTACATACATAGAGTTAATTGCTTCCCACTCATTAATCATAATAGCGATCGACGTTAAATAGATAAATTAATAATGATACTCAACAAACACCATACATCAAATGTGGTTGGTCATTTGAGGATGTGGCATATATTTCATTGGTGAAAGTTGCCGGCATGACGTAAAATCGCTACATGAACACTGCATTGGGAAGCGACTCAAAACTCATCATTGGGGCTGACCTCAATCAACTCGACCATCACTCCATCCCTCAAACAGGTCTACACACTATATTCTGGTTCCCACCCACCGAGGTAAACCCCTGGGCATCACTCATACTTAGAGGTCACACGTCTCGACACATCATCTTGTGGTTGCAGCTGCTCAAACACCAACTTATTCAGCTTCGAAAAACATCATCACCAGAAAAGTCATCTCATTTCGCCATCGTCATCCTTCACAGAGTTGTGCCTGCTTTCAACATCTCAACAACATCCACTTCAACAATATCTCCAACTTCTGCATCATCACCACCAACAATACTCAATCAGCCATTCGGTAACTGACTGACTGGCTAAGTGTTTGTAAATGTCTGTTTTTGATTGTTGCTTTTCAATTCATCATCATTTTTCTCTCTCTACTATTATTGATCTGAACCTTTGAATACAAAAACGATTAATATGAAGAATGGAATAAATGCATATATATTTACGTATATTTATGTTTCATGTATATATTTTTGGCATTTAGAAATCGAAACTAAAAACATTATTTTTGAAAAAAATTTGCATCTAATAAAATTCATTCCAAACAATATATTACGTGTTTATAAAAGGTACTCCAAATTCCCTCTTCAAACTAATTTGCATTATTTTGTTATATTAAATTTTTTTTATATTTTTGACGCTAGCCAAAATTAGTTTACATATATATAAGTTACCATAAAAGGCCTATCACATACCGCTTGGATGATGGAAAAATAGAAAAAGGAAAAAAATGAAATTAGTTTGTTGAGCATAAATTTAAATAATAAAATGGTAGCCATAGTGTCATTTGAAGGAAAGACGCGCCGTGCATTGTAAGTTTGATTTATACGGGAATGTAGTGTTACAGCCCGCGTATGGATACGTATGAATTTCAATGAGGCGGTGCTGAAAGAACATTCGGACAAGATGGTCATCGTAATGTGTAGTGTTGATGATGATGATGTTGGTTTTGTTGGAGGTGGCCAGTAATGATGATGATGGTGGTTGTGTTTAAGATGATCACAGCAAAGTGTAATGATGATGGCTATGTTTAAGGCGTTTTTGTGTCACTGGAGGTGGCGTTTTTGATGTCTTTCAAAATGGCCCCTCTAAAAGTTTTTTTTCTTATTGATGACTTTCGTTTGTGGTTTTTCATCCCACATCGTGCTTTGTAGATGTAAAGATTAACTTATTTGTGTGGCAAAATACAAAATAATGCTACATTCTTATTTTCATGAATAAGATAACCAATAACCCCTATCCAAAACTTTCATAGAACAATTGCTATTAAATTGATGCCTGTCTTTATAATCGTAGACCTAAATTTTTTTGCTTTTTTTGATAAAAGGCTTGTATTTTAAATGGCAGCATTTTTGAATTTTTTTTTGTGTTTAGCTGAAAATTAAAACAAAAAATCAACTGGTGTTAGTAATTTTCATATGAAGCGCGTCACACAATTTGTATGCAAAATAGAAGAAAGTACCTAGGTGCGAGTCCTGGCAAAGAAATATGATTATTATGCAAAGGAATTCATAAGCACCCAGTAAATCATCGTTCCACTCACTAAGTCATGTCGCTAGGCACTTCCTAGGATACCAACTACGTCATTGTCATCCTTATTATCATACACTCATTTTCATCATTTATATCATTGCACTCATCTTTATCATTGCCGTCAGAACTGACCATCATCACCAACCGTGGCATGCGTTTTATGTCTATTGATATATTTTCAGCCGTTTTAATAACAAACCCAGCATCATTTATTAATTGTGTTTGTATTTTTACTCAGCAGTTTTGTATAAATTTCAAATATTTAAATCTACGTGGCTTTTTATATGAACCATTTTGATTAGTTGTTTCTCATTTTATTCATTTATATTATTTTCACCCTAAAATATCATTAGCATCATCATCATTGCCATCATCTTCACCACAATTATAACCACCATCATCATCCTATTCGTTGTCATCATTTTACTAACATTAAGATATAAAATTTTGCCGTTAGAAATGTTTCAACAAGGCGTGTTTTTATACATTCTGAGTTTTTTCACTTTGTTAAATCAATACTATCGAAATTTTCAGCTTTGATCGCGGTTCAACCGCTGTGACAATGTGCAGACAACAACGTACACTTCATTCATTATGTGTTTCTAATGTTTCCAGTTTTATTAAAATAAGCCAAAGTGAAGGAATTGATTTTTGTCCAAAAATTCAAGGTGTGGTTGCTGGTTATTGATTTGTAACTTTGAAACTTTATGGTTAAAAGCTTTCTCAAAAATACTATTTTACCATTATACTTTCATACAACTACACTTTTCGTTGACACAACTATTTAAATATTTTTATTAGTATTTTTCTTTTCTTTTCTTATGTTTTTAATGTTTTTTGTGCTATTTTCAGCCTTTTTGTGCTATTTTATGCTTCTGTCAAAAATGTTGCTTGTAATAAATCAACTGAATTATTCATTAGTATCAACACGTAACATAACGCCATCGTGAACGTAAAAGCATCATCACCACCACAGTCATTATCATTTTCATTTTATTACTGTTATCACCTTCACATCATTTTGGTAATCTTCATCATCATATCAATCATTCCACCATCACACTCGTCTTATCGTCAGGGCGATCATCGTTATCACTCCATCATCTTCTCTACAACGTTTTTAATCCTCTTATGATGACAACCCTTCATATCACCAACGCATCCTGCTCATCACGACATCATAATTATCTTAAGTACCATCACAACCACCTCCGTCATCGTCAACATCATCATCTGTATTCTATTCATCCTCATTACCATAATCGCCTTATCGTATTCTCCAAGGTATTTAAGACAACGTCTGCATCATCATCGTCGTCATCATCGTCATCATTTTTATCATCATCGTCGTCGTCGTCATTATTATCAGTGTCGTCATCTTTGTCTTCATCAGCAGTAGCGTCATCTGCATTGTCATTGTATTCGTATCTGGTTATTTATAGCTTTTATACCACATGATAATAATATCTTTGAAGTGCATGTTCTTAAAAAGTTATGTTTATCATGACTAATTTCATACTGATGATTTTTAATTAACGTTTCAATAAAAATCTAATGAAATACTCAAATGTAAATGAATGTATGCGGTTGTAAATAATAAATTCTCTGAATATGAAAAAATGTACATTGTAAATATGCTCATCAATCAAGTTGTACCATATGTACACAGACAAAAACACACACACGCACGCACACACACGCGCGCACGCACACACACGTACACGCACAAGCACACGCACGCACACGCACACACACACACACACATATAAATATATACACTAACACGTTTCCACTCACTCAGAAACATACTTGTAAACAACCAAATACACAAACACACATATACATATACACCATGATTTATACATACACTACACTACAAATACATCATTTATTTGATGAATTTACATTCAAGCAATTGAATCCACGTCTACAAAAGGAAAAGATTAGTGGTTGAGCGATCCCCACAATGTAGTATTCATTTGTTCGAACCATTTGGCTTAATCGTTTGACCTCATTAAGCGTAAGAACGTTAATATGCATGCATGCATGTGTGCAATCATTCGCGTCTGTCTACGCTGTTGCATGTTTGTTGCATGTTTGTTGCATGGTTGTATGATGGCTGGTAAATATTGCTTATGTGATGTTGACTTAGGAAGTGGTGGTTTTTTTGGTAGTGAAGATTTGGAAAATGAGTAGAGTAGAGAATCAACGATTGATCGAAGTTAAGTTGGTATCATATTACTCAACAATTTTTTTTTATGTATATTTGTTTTGTTTATTTTGCTAAAAATTTGCAAATTACATAAATTTATTTTAATATTAATTAAGTTTGGTTTGTGAATATGTAAATTTATAAAAATTTATAAATTTTAACTAAAACTAGGTTAAAATGTGAAAATGTAACTAGTCAGGTATCATATTTAGGTAACTACGTTTTGAATGCTCGGTTTAAGTTCATTTTATTACATTTTGTACTGTGAATTTTAAACATTAATGATTAGAAGTGTTTTTCGGGTGTTGGTCGAATATTTCAAAGTCAATTATTTGCACTAATTATCATTGCAAAAATAGACTGCCATAAATTATGTATATTGAAAATCAAGTCATATAGGTATGTAATAAATAATACACGTTAGCATTGATTTTTTACGTCTGCACGTTCGTTAGGAGCCATTTTTGTCTAAAATTTTGACAAAGGAGGCGCGTATCGAACGTTTAATGGCTTAAGGCTGCAACTAAATACCTTCAATGTAATCCATCTTTGAATTGATCAGACGTTGTTTAACTTTCAATTATTTATTGCAAAATTATTACAAAATATTTCTTAATAAATTGTAGTTTTTGACAGATGATTCTCGTCTTATGTAGATTCGTAAAAAGCAAAAGACGTATTTTAATAATTTTTTTTTGATAATAAACAATTAGTTAAAGTATTAATAAATATTTTGCATTTCAAATAATTGATTGAACTTTTAATCGGTAACAAGTTCCGAAACATTGGTAAAAATCTGCAAGAAATCTTCTGACCAGTTAACCTGCCATCCAGCCAGCCAAAAGACAACTAACCAAAAACAAATCTTCCAACCGGTTAAAAAAACACACCCATCCAACCAGCCAATCCAACTAGTCAGCCAACCACAAACAAAACAGCAAACAAACAAACAAAACATTCCAGTGGCCAAGCAAGCATATGTTGCTTCATATTGTTTTAAGTTCATAATGTTGTAAGTTCATATATATATATATATATATAACATGTTGGTCATAAAATTTATGTAAAATAATGGTAAACTACTGGGGAATTAATTTATATTAAAATAAACAATTATTATATTATATATATATATATACATCAATGAATAAAAATAAAGAACAGCAAACATTGGATTTGTTTGTTGAATATTTGTTCAGCCCTGCTGCTTCCCAAGTAGGTTTCCATAATTTTTTAGATCCATTTCATCCTTTCAACACACACACACACGTGTATTGAAATGTTTGTTTCCTTTTATGTATGCTAACTGGAAATATATATTTTTATGCGTTTGGTGAGCGCGTATTTAAATTTGTTTATTTTAATATAAATTAATTCCCGAGTAGTTTACCATTATTTTACATAAATTTTATGACCAACATGTTTGTATTGTATATATATGCAGACTAGCACGACCATGTCATACATGCATCTCCCAACGCAGTCTCTTGGGAGATTCCAATTATTTCAACGTACACACGCGTGAAATGCATTATCAGCAACTGAAAAGGCTCATTCAGCACAAACATACTTCACTCTTTTCTTGATTTGTTTGATAGGTTTTGTTCTCTATGTGTGCTTCCCGCCAGCATGCTGTTCTGCATGTGCGTCTGTGTTTGTGAACATGTGTGGGTGTGAGAACATGTACTCGTGTGCAATGTGCATTTGAAATTATTATAAGCAAAAACAACAAAATTTTGGAATTAAAAACTATACCACAGAAACATCAACTATGACACGGCAACAAAGAAAGGCATACAACAACAAAACCTAACAAAACAACAAAAACAATTTGATAAAACATCACAACAATAACATTTCAACAAAACGTAACCTCAGAACAACAGCGCAGCGAACACACCAACAACCGCCTCCTTGCCAATAAATAATTCCTCTCAAGATCCGTTGACTCACAACTTGGATATTTTTCCTTCAACGTGTTTTTCCACGTTGTTGTGTACTGAAACTAATTTTAATTTTTACTGGACAGCAACTAATGAAAATTGAATGCAAAACTTTTCTGGAAAATCTCTTTGCAGTCCTCTACAAATTTGAAATTCAAAACAATGCACATAATATTATGTCTTTCAAAAAGATTTCAATTACGATGCTAATTTTTCTCATTTTTTAAATTTCCTCTTGTCAACTAAACATAGCAGACTAAAACAAATAAAACTAAACAGAGACAAATAAATACAAACAGGTAAAAAAACAGACAGAAAGACACATACAGGCAATTATACACAGCCAGCTATACACAGACTTACGCAGACAATTGGACAGACACGGACATACACAGACCAATACAAATAGACAGACGAAAATAAAGGCACAGACAAACAATCAAACAGACAAACAAACGCAGAGATCAGTGAGCATTAGTTCATTAAAATCTCGCGTCACGTTTGCAACATGCATGTCATATCACACGTATCTCATAGAGACGATTGAATGGATCGATTGATGGATGGATGAATGTATAGATGTATGAATAAATGGATGGATGAATAGATGAATTGATGGACAGTTGGGTGAAAAAAAAGATTGCCAATGGCATGATGATGAATTAATCAATGTTGGCTTGATTATTAAAAATGTGGTAGCGAAAATATTTGAAATAAATAAATGAACTCCAAAATAAATGAATAACTGAAACGATAGATAGATTAATGATCAAATAAATAGACGAATAAATCAAATAAATATGTGAGTAATTTTGTAAAATAATTATTTAATATAAAAATTATAGATAGATGGGTGAATTGCATGGCTAGTTGAAAAGTGTTGAAGTTGATATAGATAAAGGTTAAGCATCACTGCAAAACAGCTTGATGCAACTCATAATGATTTGTCCTGTCCGTCGCATCACTTCGTACGAGTTAATTAAACTCCCTGTTAATACATTTCATTTCAAAAATTTTGTTGCGGTTGTTAAATTTTATTTTTTTTAAATTTTATTTTTTTTACGCTGTAAAGGTAGTGTCCGGCAATGAATGCCGTGTGTGATGCGTTGTTCCATGTTTGTCCACATAAACTGTGTGTTGGTTGTCGATGTTTTTGGAAAACATTGAAGAGTGAAATGTAATAATTTATATTGATTATATTGTTGTAATTTACTAATTAACTAGCAAACAAATCAGTTTCAGCAGAGTCTATTTTTTATATGTTATTATTACTACTATCATTGATAACATGGTTGACTTTTCCAGTAGCCCCTTTTATTATTAATATTGTAGCTGATATGTTTAATTAATTTGAAAATGAATTTTAAGATCCTGAAAATTAGAATGAACTATCTGACTGGTGATAAGATAATTGAATATAGACATAAGATTTAAAACAACCCGATTAAATATAAATGTTAAGCGACAGCAAGCCTGATTGAAAGATATGAAGGAAAAACAACTTTTCTAAGAAATCCTTAAAAATTAAATCAATTTAAATGTTCCAACGCGTTTCCTCAACCCTGGAGCCCGCAGCGTAAACACGCACGCACGAGTGCACGCGCGTATATGTGATATGTGTAGGTACGTGTTTGGTTCTTTGCTATACAAATCTAAAGATTTATTTTAATCACGGACTAAAACACTATATGTGTAAGAAAGAGAGAAAGAGAGGGAGAGAGAGGGTAAGATATTAACACACCGGCCACACTCTACAATGCAATATACATGATGAAAGACTACTCAGTATTTTCAAGATATATTAATTCACTTGAAATGATATTAATAATATTTTTATTTACATATACTCTGCTGAAAAGATTTGCCACATTTAATAAATCACTTCTAGAGTTGAGTGTGGTGGCATTGGATTCAGCAAGCTCCAGCTATTTATGCCATTGTGTGAGTGCACTATTTGAAACGTGTGTTTGAAAACTGTCATGTATTTGTACGTTTGTGTGTTTGTGTGTCTCAGTTATTAATGTCCTACTGATCCTTGCTGATCAAAGTTAACCTGGCTATTAACAACAGTACTAATGACCATTAGAGAGATTTAAAATTACTTGGCATCTTGCAATTTATTGCGGGGAGTTTGCAGCAAGCCATGTGAACATCACTATAGATAGATGTATGGTAAATATTCATTAAAGTAAAATTATTTACTGAAATATAAGAGTTGCTGAATTTTTTCATTTAAATTATTATTTTTTTTAAATATATAAATTCAAATGCAACATTTTTAGCAGTTGAATGGATAGGATGAAATATTGGAAAGACATCCCTTGTTGCATGTACAACATATGTTGGGGGAATTACAATGTGATGTGCTCTGTAAACGCAACATATGTTGGGTGATTCATAAAGTTTATGCAACAACTTGGAAATATAATTTCTGTCGAACAAAATTAAGACTTAATCCGTTTAACCAAAGTTTTTTTTTGGATGGCTATTTTTCAAATAAATGAATGAATAACGAACTTTTGATATAAAAATAAAAATATCTATTGAAAAACTGGCACAAGATTGTGATTAATAGCAAAGTAAAGAATGTGTTGATTAAAAAGTAGGCGTTTTGATTATAAATGTATGCAAGTGCGAATTCACTAATTAAGATTTAACACAAATATATCTATGTAATCTTGTCTTAATGATATTTTAACAAATTTGCTGCATTTTAGAATTCATAAGATTTCATAAATTTCATTGAATGAAACATACTTGATTTTTTTGTTAAACAGACAATGTAGAATTTGTAATTTATAATAAACTTGCAAAGTTAGTCACGCAGTCGCGGTTTGTGTTGAATACTGAATCACGTTCCTCTACGAACAGAATTGTAAATTTATGAAAACTGTTTGAAAGTAATAAATGGCACAGCTGATATATTTCAAATTTTTATTTAGCTAACCACACGCTTATTCAAGGAACAACACAAAAATTTTTAACCATTTAAAAATATTCTCATCAATCACCAAAATTGTAAAAATTAGCATTGAACTTACACGCTTATTTATTATTATTTTCACAATTATTTATCACCGAACATGGATTAATGTAGAGACAATTGAACTTACAATGAAGGCGCGTCACAGCAATCCAGGCACTCCACTCATCAGTCTCGTAAACATGGAAGGAACAAGAAAAAGCCATATAAAAATACGCACGTATAAACAACTCACTCAGGCCAACTGTAAGACACATTTTATTAGCTGAACATACCATAAACATTTCCAAATAAAGGAATAAATGAATGAAGAGATGAATAAATGCAGGAGCGTAGCATACAAATATATCAACAGTCACTCGATTGTTGGGAGCAGCAGCTGTGCCATGGTGATCGTTACGTTACGTACGTCAGATTTATAAATGAATTTATCGTTTCTATGTTTTTGTTTTAGTAAAATTTTAATCTAGAATATATTGTAAGCTATTTTATTTTATTCAATTTGTTTAAAATAATTTTTTTAAGGATTTTTCAACAAGAATTTGCAAAAATTTGTTTAACATAACTCAAAATCAGACATAGTTTCTACTCTAGAACTTCAATTAACTGCCATCGGTGTTTCGCCACTCCCATTTAAAAGACTGAGAATGAACTTGTGGATGTCAAGCAAAGTTAGATGATGCTAATGAAAGCTAGCAAGAGTGCATTACCTATGGCTTAATTGAATGAAGCTCAACATATAAACTTCTTCCATACAAACCACTACTAAGACTATTAATCTTATGCGTACTACTACCACTACGATTACAACACTACCAATACTACTACTGCTACTACTTTTACTACTACTACTACTATTATAATTACTACTATTACTGCTACTACTACTAGTACAACTACTATTACTATCTCGATTTCTGCTTGCTGATTGATTGCTGATAGTAAAAAAAAACAATGAAAATAATTCTAAGTAACTAATATTCGTGCGAATAAAGTTCATCTCACCACTTGTCTCTTTCTGATTTTTATTCTACAAACATTTGTTAACAAAACATGCTACAACAAAACGTAACATACATGTTCAATTCATTGTGTTCTGTACTACAAGTTGTATTCAATTAGTGTTTTTAATATTTTCATCGAGACTATTGTCACCGTTACAATAGCTTTCGTCTTTTAAGGTCAATGATTATGTGTGACACTCAAGTTTTATCAATATATATATATATATATATATATATATATATATATATATATATATATATTAATTTTTAAATAATTTTTTGTATGGAATTACAAAAAATTAAACATTCAATGTAATCAGAGAAGAAAAAAAATTTTCAAATATTTAAAACATTTCAATTCTTCTACGGCAGTTTTGGAAACTAAGCACCACATCATTTTGAAAAAATGTTGAGACTGAATAATGAAGAAGATTTTATTTAAAGAAGCACTAAGGCGGCTTAAGTTTAAGAAGCGGTGTTGTCAGCAGCCAGGTCTGATTTATTCAATTCCTCAAACATTTCTACCACAAACATTTTGTTTGTTTCATATTGTTTACCATAAATTGTTCACCACACCTTGTTCACCACATCTTGTTCACCACACCTTGTTCACCACATCCTGTTCACTACATGTTGTTTACTTTCCTGAAGAGTTGGACAGGAAAATGGAGGTTTGCATATGAAGCATCAGCACTCAAGCATCTGCCTGTGAGTGGAGGGGTGTGCAATCTCAAGTTTGAAATGTTTCTTTGAAAGGACTTCAGGCATCATTATATATTCTGTTCTGCTGATGTTAAGTTGTATTTCAAACTTTACCAAAACAAAATAAATATCATTAAAATACGTTTTAATAAATATAAACAATTGTTTCTTCAATTAATGTTTTGTACAGGATTTTTTAAAATTTTAATTATTGATCATAAAGTTTAGAAAGAGCTGTTACGATAAGTTCACTTCAAATAGCTAGACACAATAAGTAACGATTTGTCATTGCATATAACAGTCATATCATATAAAGAAATATTATGTTATATAATAAGATGTTTCATAATAACTTTCAACACATCGCATACACCAAACTTTAGAAATACTTTTGCGCAAAAAAAACATAAAAATGAGAGAAGAATGAAGACGGTGAGCGGAGAAAACGTCATTTATGGAGCGCTTCATTCGTGCAATCAATAAATGCCTCCATTCAATTCCAATTGCTTTCATTCACTCGAAGACGATAAAAGATTTTTCATTTTCTTTTTCATGACGTGTTTACGGCTAAAAAAGTGTTTTGCTTTCTGCGTCTGCTCTACTATGCATTTGTGGAGAGTAATTATGCAGGCAGTTTTATGATTCTACTTCTATTCGCTTGCTTATTTGTTTTTAATTTGAATTTTTTTATATAAACAAATTAATTAAAAATTAAAGAAGACCTCTTTTCTATATTGAGTCTTTTACGGTTGTCAGGTTAAACAACAACCTAGCAAGAAAATGAGTCTTCATGAATAACAACATCTAAAAAAAACTCATTAGAAAACTACAGAAAACATTAACAACGCATAGGAACCCGTTTAAATACAAGCACAGCACTACAACACCCATTAAAAAAAGCACTGCAAGCATGTGCACACACATACGTACTAATACACGCACACACACATATACACACACACACAACTGCAACACATACATACATACAAACAAACACACAAACATGTCATGAAGACATGAGCAAACATTGAAACGGCTTGCAAAAAAGATGTTGTTTTCTCCTACATGTTTCATCTCTCCTTATTCAATCACAACATTTTTTTTATTACGTTTTGTTTTAATTAATTTCTTGTTCATAATTTAATTCGTTGCCTGTCCAATGTTTATCACCTTTTTAATGTTGTTTTGAACGCATGCAGAACATATAAGAGCAAATACTGGCAGCTAACAGAACATGAGCAACAATCATACACATTTTTATGACATTTTTTTAAAATAATTAGTTTGGTACGTATACAATTGTGTACACCACACACACGCTCGGACTAGAGATAGACTCAAAAATGCAAAAAAGCGTCCTAAATTTACACTGCACACACAAACACACATACACACACCTATTGCAGGCATGAACATCAATTCCTTTACAATTACGACGTAATCTCAAAATTCCAGTTGCACAACGTACAAACAAATACCGACGTACCTACTAATCAGTTAGTACTCATTCCCCAATGCATTTCTATTACTTTGTTTAAATAACATGCAAAACATGCAAGTTGACAAAATTTCGTGAAAATATTAATATATTTGTTTATAGATAATGATAGATAGAAATTTTTATTTAATCATTTCGGTTGTTCATATGAACTGTTTAAAAACAATCAAACAAACAAACATGTGAACATACATGCATACATAAGTAACACATGTACATCAATTTATTAGGACATAACAAACTTATTGGTAGGAACATGCATACAACCAGTGACGTATCTATGTTCGTCAGCCACAAATACCACAAATCTTGGACCTCTCGTCAAAATTTTGCCATCCCCAGTGAAAATTTAAATATTTTCAAAATTTTAAACCCTGGTAAAAATTTAAACATTTAATTTAAGTTTTATTGATCCGCCACTGCACACAACCAAGCATACATACATATATGCATACATACACACATCTCTAAATATATACATATACATACAAAAACACACACACATACACACACATACTGGTACATTTTTGATGAAAGCGGGCAGCAATCAAATAGGATGACACGAGAAGTACAGCACATATCTAATATGAAAACATGAAACCAAACATCATCAACTGAACAAACAGCACTGACGTCATTGATTCCATTTCATTTCGTTCCATCTTATTTCATTTCATTACTTTTTGTTTGCTTGCTTGTTTGTTCTTCTTTGGTACCGACTCAGTACCTTTCCATTGAGATTCAATACTATTTTGCTGCATGTTTCTTGGAGTTACTATTTTTAATTTGATTTTATGAAACTCGAAATGAAATTTTGTTGCAATTATTTCAATATAATAACAATGATAATTTTTTTACCTACCACAAACAATATAGTCTATTTGAAAAAAACTTCAAAAATAGTAAGGTTTAATTCAAAGTCAATTTGCGAAAGATCGGAAAGTCTTGACAAACTGATCCCACCACGTTTAACAAGAGATCGTACACAACACCAAAGCAAGAACTTCTTAGTTCAACAACATAACCACCAGATCACAAATGAACTCCATAAAAATCGATGAAACTTGATCTCAAGTTAATTAATGCGACCAACTATTGATAACAACATTCCATCCCATTAAGAACATGCACTTGGAATCGGGATGTGAACCTTTCCACCTGTCCAGCTGCGTATCCTCAATTAAGCAGTTTTGAGTTCTTTTATGAAGTTTTTTTAACGATGACTAATACACTTAATGCACTGGCACCAACTATATTTTTTTAAATCCAGGGTGATGTGGATAGCAAAGGAATTCTTTTTATTATTTTTATTTTAATTGAAAGAAAATAGTAAAAACTTCTAGTTTGTAAGTTTGTAACAGAAAAAAAGAAACAAAAAAGCATAGAAATAACAAAATGCAAAATGCAAAAAATTGAAGTAAACAAATGATATGAAAAACCAAAAGTAAATTTATTATTCTTTCCAAGTAATTTCTATTATTTCACATTTCGAAAATATTATTCATCCATCAATGAACAAACAAATAAGTAAAACGCGAGCATAGCAATGCATTTCTATATTGTATATACGCTTTTTCTTGCGAGTGACGTATTTGCATAAGCATCACTGAACACACGCCACACACGCATATATAAATATATAACTATATATATATATATATATATATATATATATATATATATATATATATATAATGTGTGTGTGTGTTTGTATTTGTGTGTGTGCGTGTGTGCGTGCGTAATTCCTACATAATATATAATTTGATGTACAAGCTTTTATGTGCACACCTTCACGTATGGTTTATGTTCTTTTCAACGTGAACAACCATAAACCAGGCAATCATTCGTGCTATCAGACAACAGAACAACAACATAACAACAACATAATAACAACAACATTGCAACAACATTACAACAACATTGCAACGGTATTACAACAACATTGCAACAACATTACAACAACATTACAACGACATACATAGCATAACAACAACAAAATCACTTTTCTAAAATTGAGCAAGATTGCCAGAACCAATACAACATTCTCAGAGAGATAACCAACCACACAACAAAACTCAATGATTAAAGATATTCATCACGTCAACATGTAAACATTGCATAACAATGATTAATTAAAAATAATAAATTAAAAAACATTAACAACAACAACAACAATAAAATGGGAAATATTAACATCACAAAAGCCGTTCCAGACAGCGGAGCATCGATACAACATTAAATAATATCCTAACAATTTTTACAATTAAGGCCAATAATGTCTGAAGATTGTTAAGGGCCCTTTCTTGTTCCTCGTACAAGCAACGCAATGTTTCAGGTACGAAAGAAGGTAAGAACTGAAATTTCATTCTAGTTACTCCACAGACATTTCAATCTAATATCAAAGATATTATATAAAAATTGTATTTTTTTACTGCGTAAATAAATGAATAGCCAGCTATCTTACTAAACACAATAAAAAACAATCAGACGCAGTTTATAACAATATAACACAAGACAACACAGACGATAACAGTTTATTTTTATGCCCAACTCACATATATATTTTTCAATTCAAAGTAGAAGTACAAACGATCATTATGTTCAATGCTCAATGCAGATGGATGGGCGAGATAACATTTAAGTGGCGACACTTCAACGTATTTATTCTTTCATATCAAGACGCATTAGTAAAATACAATTGAAACAAATTTAAACATATTTGAAGCATGTAAAAATCACCAATGAACAGTAATTAGCATTCCACTTATTTATTTAATAAACAAATAAGCGATCCGATATAACATCTTTTACAATTTATCAACTATATCGTTGCAGTAAAAACAACAGCATATATTGACGAACATTCAGGCACCAACAACACCGCAAATGAAATTTCCAAATACTTCAAAAGCAACACAAATGGCATCGTCACATCTCACAGGAAGAAAAATTTTGGGAAATAAGTTCAATAAAGTGAGAACTAACTGTCAATTTCCTATTGGAGCGCCATGAAGACATAACTGCATTAACGACCAATTAAGGCTGCAAGCTAGCACGCACACACCTCAGCCAGATATCTACTATGGCATCTACAGATTATTATGCAGGGAATAATTTCCTCCATTGCTAACTCTTTCGTTGGCAGTATTTCTAACACCACCTCACCCATAATGTTTGTTTCTATTGTTCTATTCCTGTTGACAATTTCTTCGATGATATGAATCACCAACTAAAAAAATGTTTGGAGTAATTCTGACAAAACTACCTGACAAAACTTCAGGTTTGAAAATTTGGCCAAATCAGAAATGCCTCACTGAAATTATACAATATAAAGAAAGACAATCACAAGTAGATGAATTTTTTCTCGGTGACCAGGATGTTTGCTTGCAATCATCAGCCGATTGAAACACCTTGCAAAGACAAACTGCATGCCGTCGCCCGTTATTATTTTCTAATTGAAATATATGCTGGAGCATAGATTTGCATTTTGCATACAGGTAAATTATTAGAAATGAAATAACATACATGATTGCACATACCTTCGTTGTTGTGA